CACACACACACACACACACATGTAGGTGTAAGGCAAAAAAAAAAAATTCAAAGTCGTAAGAATCAAACTTCATAGCCCATAATCAAAATGGTGTGAAAATCTAGAATGCATTATAAATCAGCTCAATACGTGTTTGTAAGATTACAGCCCATTTTTAAAGTATCTAACACCCCCCCCCCCAACCACACACACAAAAAAAAAAAAACAAACAGGTCTAATGCAAAAAAAAAAATGTCAAAAGTTGTAGAATCAAACTTCATCTCCCATAATCAAAATGGTGTGAAAATCTAGAATGCATTATAAAACAGTTCAATAAGTGTTTGTAGGATTTCAGGAAGCAAATACATAAAATTGTTAGTAGAAACTTAAGAACATTTGTGACAAGAGTGCTAGGGTAGCACTCCTGAAAACATAAAGTTCCTAAGGTAATGAGCACAAATACCCAAAAAATTAAAAAAAGTGTGTCACAACTCAAAAGCAATATATATCGTTCCACATTCCAACATAAGATGTCAATACCCCTAGATTTATACTACCATATTATCAAGAATGACTGTAAGCATCAAGCTATGCAGAATTGGACCATTTTAAGATAAAAAGACAGATTATAAAATAATGCCAAATTGAGAAAAATATATAACAAAGAATGTAAGGTCATTGAACTATTCTTTGAAAACAACACAAAAGGGAAAGTAATCAATGACTACTTTGTAGAAAAAGGTCAAAAAAGTCCATACCGTTAGATATGAAATCAGACGGCTGAAACGTGTCATTCACCACACTCAGTCCGAGAAAAATTTTCTTTCAGACTTCATGCAGAACTAGCCTGTCTACTGTCACATCTAACGGCTTGGGGTGTTTGTTACCTTTCTTTGCTCAAGATAACAGTCTCTCTCATTGAATACAGTTCCATCTAAAAAACTGAAAGTAAAAGATATACGGAGAGAGAGAAAGCAAGAGAGGGAGATGGAGACGGGTGGGAGTCCGGGAGAGAGAAAGAGCTACAAAGGAACCTTTTTTAGAGCTACAAAGGGACCTTCTTTATCTTTTTCCTTTTTGACTAGTAAAGGACCTTGTTTAATTGTTAAATACAAAGGGACATTTTCACTTTTATCATTTGCCACAAAGGGACCTTTTTTAATTCTAAAGAGGAAAAGAATACAAATATGCAAAAAAATTCTAAGTGCAAAAGAATAAAAATATGCAAAACCTTCTGTGTGTGTATCAATCACAAAAGTTCTTTGACTGTGCAAAAACTAGCACGGTGATATGACTTGAGCTCCATACCTGGCTACGAATGCTATTGATTGCTGCAATCAACACTTTATCCCCAGCAATTGACCTTACTTTCCCTATAAGAGTATCTTTTCCAATTTTTCCAGCCTGAAATTTGTGTAGGGCAGTAAAGGAATATGCTTCAGTTATATAATAGAAAGTAAATTTCGATTAGACTGAAGCACACGAAAGGAAAATATTGATTACCTTGAATTCATTATATAAATGCTCTAACGTTCCAACAGTGGATGGAGAAAGATATTTTCCAATAACAGAAAATAATGTTGGAAATGACATTTTGGATGTCCCACCCAAGAGTGGACTCGTTTTGGGGCTCTGTCCATTTGCCTCAGTTAACATATGAGAAGGCTTATCAGATCTTGCCTGGACATCAATAACAATTCAACTGACTTAAAAATAGTTGTATATAGATTGATATTCCTTAAAAGATTTGCCGGGGAAAAAAAAAACTAGAAATTAACTATTACAATCCCACCATTCTTGGTATAAGTCCAGAAAAAAATTATATAAAAAAGGTGTATGGAGCATACTGTTTGCGGCGTAAACCTTGAAGCTGGTCTATTCTTTTCAGAAACACCACATGCCTCTTGCACTGATTTTTCATTCCTCCAGACCTCTGCAGAACAAATCCTCTTAAGGTCGTCATGGGGGGAAACTCTTTTCCTCAAAAATTAGTAGTGCAGGACAGACCATGTGAATAATGAGTAGAACAACAAAAGATACAAAAATAAATAAAAACAAAGCTACGTGTAAATATGTTTGTAGCATGCATGTGCTTAAGTGCGTATGTATGCAGAAAAATATCCATACATATATGTAAATCCGTGTTATAGTTTTGGGAAGCATGTAAATTAAACATCAGTATAATATGAGACTAACAATACTATAATTAAAGATGCATGCATGTGTAGCATATAGAGGAAAAGAATTTCATCACCCTTTGGATGCATTGCTACAAAGTCCACCCCTCCCATGTGCACACCATACTTTCCCTCTCCTCCAAAACTACATTTTCTAGTATTGGTTAAAAATGGGAAAGATGGACACTCTAGCAATGCAGCCTAAGCTCACGAAGGTCTTTCCAAATAGCCCTAACAATATTGTGTTTAAATATGAACTCATGTAGGCAGACTTTTATGTGTCTCTGGACATAAAACAATAAACGTGCCACCTTTTGATCTTGATTGGCGCCATAATGGCGACCTCCAGCACGCCATAATGGCAGGCTGGACAACTTTTGTCAGATGGATCAGCACCGTTTGATGGGTCTGAATACTTAGCCACATACTAAAAATGTGTGGCCAGGGGGACACAGAATTTTTCCATGATATGTATCACTCAATACATATATAAATAAAAATATAGCATAATATCATTTGCTCAGTGTCCTGGGACTTGGCGGAGTAAACTCGGTCTTCCCTTATGGGAGAGGCGAGTTCCTGACGAGTTAGGTGTACAACTCACCAAGCCTAAACAAATGCTAAAAAAATGTAAACAATGGGCAAAAAATATAAAAAAATAAGAAAACACTAACACAATGGTTAGAAATACTTCTTTAAAGATTTTGCTAGTTTTTCAGATCATTTAGGAAATTTTATATTTTTCCCTTTTTTTATTTTTTGGAAATATTCAAGCTATAAATCCACTTTTTCAATAATCCATCTTTTATAGTTTTTTTTCATCTTATTTAGTCTCCTAATGATTCTATCAATCCTTCAAACTTTTTCTGATTTTTAAAAGATTTTTTAGATATTTTTTAACTTTTTTTTTAAGGCTTTTTTCACTTTTTGTGGGGTGTAACTAACTCGGCTGAGTACCTTGGCGGAGTCGATTTTCTGTACAATGCATGTGCTTATATGCATAAATATCCATGCATAACACACATATATAGACGCATACACATGTTATACCTATGGAGATGCAATGATGCATGTTTTTACCTATAAAACATTGTCATATAACTTCTACACTAACAATAATATAAAATCTCATAAAATTACCATAAGAAATGTATAATTCTTTAGCATGTGTCCATACATCACGCCAATCATACATGATGCAATAGAAGCCTAGGCCATAAAAGAGAGAGCCACCGGAAAAAAATTTGGTAATGGAGGTTTCCTAGAAAATAACATGCCCACAAATGAGTATGCACCCACCTGCAACACTTTCCATGATGGATGCATCCTTACTTAACAGCAAGCCAACAAGGGAACAAGACAATAGAATCTACCTTTGAGGGGATCGGGCACCTTAATGCTCACAACATACACAGGAAGAATGTGTGTGTTCATATGAGTGCTCCAAATGATAGAGCGTCTACGATTACAAAGATCTTCAACACCACTATCAAAATCAACATTTCTGGGGTGAAACTGAGCAGACCCACATTGAACTTGTTCCATGTTTCCCATGATAACACGGCACAACACCAGGTGGTGTAAACCGTTATCATCAGGCTCTGCAGAGAGCACACTGGAATGCAAAAAGCATTATTCATAGAACAAAATGTTTCATAGTTCCTTAACTATAAAGGCTGCTACGAAAGCAATTTTTTAGATTTGAAATAAAAACAAAAGAGAAACAAGCGATAGCTTTAGAGAATTGCTAGTCGCACCCATCTTTTTTCTTTCCGCAGCCATACATACATGGGTGAAAATTCTAGCCAATTGATATCTGATATCACCACCAATGTTTTTGCCTGAATAGCAAAAACATGGGACCAAGGGTTAAAAGCAATCGCCTAATTCTACATACCTTAAGTGGGGGTAACCTTCTGGTGTGAGATAGATGCCAATGCCATACGCATCTGAGCCATAACCTGCCACAGGCCGACCGAAACCATGCAAAATTATGCTTTCAACACCTTTTGCTGACGTCCCATGCCAAGCATACATAACATTTGCACTGACAAAAGAGTTCTTAGTCATCTCAATGTGTCTTTGAAAGGTTTGCAACCGAGCAAGCCCCACTGCACTTGCATATGAACAACCATATATAGCATCAACACTTATCATCCCAATCATTTCTTTTTGGAAGCCCGAAAGGAACAGCCTCTTAATTGACACATATGCTTTGTTGCCATCATTCAGCTTCACCAATTTTGTACCTAATGAAGCAAATCGAGGAAGCTGGTTAGAAATATAATCATCAGGCTTTGACATCAGTATTGGGGCACAGATAGTAGGCAAAACCTCGGAGGCTAAACTGGTTGGTTGAGAAGTACGGGTAGCGGTCAAGCTGCTACCATCAGTTTGTATATCTATAGCAGTTAAATTGCAATTCTGAATGTCATTAGTTATAGCATTTGTTGCTCCCTTGGCAGAGATGGTTGCATCATGCTCTTCAATGGAAGGTTCAATCCTGGAAAATGGGGCAACATCTAAAGGGAGGGTACAGGTTTCTTTCTTTACACATAGCCTTTTCCTTGAAACAACACAAGAGCTAGGCATCTCATTACTTTGTTCCATTACAAATCCTTTAAAATCCATGACTTTCTCGGGTTTTGTAGATTCCAAAGAGCCAGGGCCAAAAATCCGCTTTTTCAAATTAACCCCATCAGCTTGAAACTTCTTCTCCAAACCAGCCATAATATCTATGCAATCTGTCTTCTCTTCTTTCTGATTGACATGATTGTCTTGAAATTCTTCAACTTTGCCTACTCTTGCCAAAGCCCCACCATCTCTCTCTTCACTATTTGCATCTCTAACCCGGGAAGCACTAACCAACTCTTTCATAACAGCCATTTTTTTATCAGATCCATAAATCGGCAGTTCTTCTACTGCTGACTTACACTGAAATCTATCTAACTTTTCCAAAGAATCCACCTTTTGCTCAGTAACATCATTAATTGGCTTAGAATTTCTCTCAGCTTCCTTAAATCTTGGACTTTCAGCATTACACTGTGAAACCAATGCATAGTTTTTCTCTCTAGCTTTTGAAACCTCAGACATATTCTCATCTTCCAAAGATGTTACCTCATGGTCAACCTTAGACCCCTTTACGCCATTATCAACCTTAGAACCCTTCGACTCATCAATCTGAATCTCAATTTCGAATTCAAATCCAGAAGGATCTTCAGCATCATCAAAAATATCATCACCCAAGAATAACTTTGGAAAGAAACAATTCTCATTAACATCAATCCATGAAATCGAACGGTGGCAACCTGCACTTAAGTCTACTTGTAACATTCTGAAGAAGTCCACAAGATATGAAGAGCCATCAATCTCTGTATGTACAGAGGCTTTCCCTTCAGAGAAAGCCTCTTTGAGAGTCTCTGTTGCCTCTTCAGAGAAGTCATTCCATTGTCCAGACCAGAAGAACATAACCCTTTTCAAAAGCCCACTTTTCTTGAAATTCGTGTAATTTTGAAGCAGAGTTTGGCCATAGAAACACTGGCCACTCGAATTACTTTGAAGTTGTTTACAGAAGTTACAAGAATCAATCGATCTAGTGCCATTAAATTGGCCTTTTCCCCAATTTAAAGATCCAAACTTTCTGCCATGCTTTCTCCTTTTCATAAAAGCTCTACCATAACCAGACTTCATCATATTAACCAAAAAAAGAAAATAATCGCACTGATAGGTTATTCACAAACGTAATTGATACAAAACGAGTTATACACAAATCCTAGCCTGTTGGCAAACAGGCAGTAGGGCACAATGAGAACCCATTGATTAGGATTCTTGAAGCTTGCAAAGTACAAATGCATCAGAATTAGGGTTTCTTTCCAAACAAAAACGGAAGCTCTAAAATGTAACATGTATCAGAAATGGAGTTTCACAGGCTAGTTTTAGAGCGCAAAAGCGAAGAAGACGAAAGAACTGAAAGGGAGAAAAGCAAGGTAAAAGGATGAGAACCTGCAGGCCTTCCTCTGCCTATCGCTGCTCCTGCAACTCTCAGCCTCTTCCTCTCTCTTCTCCCTCTCTGAATCTCTTCTCTCTGTAACTAGGATAACTTCCCAGTAAAAATCTCTCCTCTCCAAAAGGCAAAGGGACGCTCAAAACCTCGGATCCATTTCGGAACCTTATCTCTGCGGCGGTTGTGCACACGCGTCATATATAAGAAAGAGAATTTGAAATTACCCTCTTATGCGACAAAACTATCGAAAGTATCCCTCCAACTATCTACAGGCCAGTCCTCGTGAAGAAAGTACAAGTGCTCAAAACGGCTTAGAGTTTAGTAGCCCTTCACTTTTTTTAATTGACACGAACACCCCGATCGGCAAAACATGTTCCGCATACCCGAGGTTGGAGAAAACGGATCCCAAAACCGGTCCAGTTTGGCATTAAAATTGTTTTTAAAGTGGGGTGATTTATATGAGAAAACTGGTCAGCCCTATCATATAATTAGCCCATTCAAGATATTTTGACAAAACCTTAATCCTTGATCCAGACCCGTCGGTTCCAGTCCAAATTTCCATTTTTAAGATGCTACAAATACCTGTAATGGATTGTTAACCGGTGTTTAGAACATCCAATATTTCAAAACCTAGATTGGTAGGGGTCGTTACCCGCAGATTCATGTCCGATCGTCAAATTAGTGATCTAGATGGGGTCTAGATTGGTTCGAATTGGTGATATAGAAAGTATTAAAATATAAATAAAATGAAATAAAAATTAAAGTAAAATCTTACGGGATCGGGATTTACAAAGAACGCAAAAAATATTGGTTAAGTTAAAACAAAAGGACTAAAAATACATGTAAGGGAAGTTTTAGTGGGGAGGGGGAACCTAAGACCCATATTGTTCTTTAACTGGTTTGGTCCTAAAGGATTCCCTTTCGAAAATCTACATAAAGAATCGTCGGGTTTTAAAACACTAAGAAAATCAATCAAACTAAAAGTCGGAGTAAAATTGGCCATGTTGGCAACCTCGCTCAACCAACCAAAAAAACAAAAAAAAGTAAAATATTTAAAATGTAAAATATTTAAAATATTTAAAATTTTCAAACAAAGTTTTGAACTTTTAATAATTATCAATACATAACGATCCAACTAAGGTGCACCTCCAAATTTTATCATAACATGCAATTTTGATGTAAAATTTTTTTTTAAGATTATTTGAAAATCTATTTTCATATCTAATTATAGACTTTTAAACTCCAAAAATAATTAAAATCGAGTAGATCTATAAACATATGGAAATCTTGAAAATAGACGGTCTAGATAATGTACTACAAGATGCATTATTTATGGGACTCATAATCCTCTTTTTTCCATATTCATACATATCGATGTCGAGATGATCTATTAGAGGATTTTTCAACATTAAAACATCATTCTCTGGTAAATGTTTTAGGTGTATTTATAATTCTACATTTTAAGGTTCCAACCTTATATAAACTTTTTTCATACATATTTTTTTATACTAAAAACCCTCTTTTAATATGAATTCTAAGCAGATTAGCCAAGCCCTGATTGAGGGTAAAATTATACCTTCCTAGTGGTTTTAGTTTTACAGGAAGCCAATTTAATTCAACTCGAGTAGTTCTGAGTCGAAAGATCGATTCAAACGACAAAGTAAGAATATAGGGCACCTCTCATATTCCACTAGTGTATGGCGTAGTTTCCAATAAAAAAAAGTCACGTAAAATGCAGTTTAACTTAAGCTCTTACAACAGGCTGGCGTACACCAGGCCAGCCCGCACTAGCTGCATAAGGCCGGCATGGCAGTGGCCCAAGTCCGGCTGTCATGGCCCGAGCCCGACCCGTGAGCTACATTTTGTGGTCCAGATCTTAGTTTTTCATGGCTAAGGGGATTGGGCCGCCCCATGTATTGCCAACCCCATTAACTCCTTTGTAGATTTTTTAAATTTAATAAGTATATACAGTACTTATATACTTATATACGAATCATCCACCATCCATTCATGTAGACATCAACTATATCTGATTGGTCCATCAACAGAAAGTGAACTCGTCTTTACCGTCCATCACCAAGGACCGATGGTGGATAGCCTGCGTGCTATTCTTACCATTCATTTGCCACGGAAAATGTTAGGTTTGGGTCCAGTTGTCACATGGCAATCATTTTTGGAATTTTAAAGGACAGTACCTAACAATGGGGTTCCGTCAAGAGTTATAAGATCTCATGCTCCAGTGAGAGCATACCAATCTATTTGCTCACTCGGACAAACTCACACTCGAAATTTTTTTTTTTTTGGAATCCAAACTATGGGGATGTAATATCTAGATCCCAATTACCAACCACAAAAAAAAAAATTTAAAAAAAAATTCACACACTCTATGTACTTAAAATATAATGAAGTCCCAAAATTGAACAATATTCAATTTTTAAAGGGAAAGATCTAGATCGACAAGAACTCAAAATCTAGGTTTTTTTTTTTCTCTTAAAAATAATCACCTAGTGATACTTAAATAGATCTCAAACTTTCGGATCAAAATCCCTTTCGAACTAGCTATGTTGCTTGAGGGAGTTATTGTACAGATATGCTCCCGCTGGAGCATCATAGGTCGTTATGGTTTTGTTCAAAATATATAACCTTACATCTGGTATGTGACCACTCCATGTGTGAAGAAAGGAAGATGAGATTAAATTACTTCTTGATACCTCAAACTATCAAAGTAAGGGCAACCTTAAAAAATTAGTATCGAAAGATTTCGTCTTAGCATCGAAAATCGACTGTCTAGATAATATATTATAAGATATACTATTTTCAAGACTCGAAGTTTTTTTTTTTTGTTATATATCTCAAGGTCAGGATGATCGGATTTTAGGATTTTCAACATCAAAACAACTTCTTTTATTGATTTTTTGAAGTGTGCTTTGGCCTTATAAAAACTTTTTCCAAAAACTAAATGGTAGTAAAATAAACAAAAGAGTTAACAATGAAAAAATAAAAAATAGTACGTATATTATGCTCCCTCACGAGCATAGGTTTTTTTCTACTCCCATGGTAAGAAAAACGAGTACGTATTATCATGCTCCCTCCCGAGCATATTTTGTTTCTATTACCGCAATGGGAAGAGCTACTTGAGAGGATTCTTTCAATATGAAATTTTGGGAATTACTTGAAAATTATTCGGATATTATTCTAAAAAAAAAGTTGAAATTTGAACTTTCTAACACTTAGATCTCCAATTAACAATTAAAAAAAAAAAAAACGACTTAGATCTCCAATTAACAATTAAAAAAAAAAAACACTTAGATCTCACCACCTAAAAATTTGATGGTCTCTATTCAATCTCGAACATATTTGTTTGAAGTACGTAGAGGGTATAATTAGGATTTATTTTTATTTTTATTGAGGTTAATCTATGTGGTTGGAGAGGTTCTATCCCCAAAATTTGGGGTTCTAAAATTAATTCTAGGTGGTGTTTGACACGAGGGAGTAGAACATCTTTTGGCAAGGATAAAAAAAAAGGTATTTGAAGCACAACACATTTTGGACTTTATATAATTTCATAAATTTTGCATTTAAATAAAAAAAATTTATTTGAAATTATCGTATGAAAAAATAGGGATTGTCTACAAAGAGATCATTTATCTTTTGTACGTAAAAGTGACAATCATTCACACTTATTAGATGTCAAATTAGATGGTTTAGGATGAGTCATGAAGTCCAATAATTTTTTTTTGGATCTTTGTGTCAATAACATTCTTATAACCACCCATTTAGAAATTTAAAGAACGAAAATGATTGTGACCTCCATGTGCAAAAGATAAATGGTCTATTTGTAGATAGTCTCGAATAAATATGGGTCAAGTATACCATTTCTTTGGTTTTGTTCAAAGACTACTAGAAAAAACAATGGATTTGGAACCATTAAACAATCAATTTCGGATTGCTAACCACAATGCATGGAGCATTATAACAGTATGTTACATATAATCTCAGTCACCATTATCAACACGGAACTGTTGAGATGAACGTTCCTCAACGGGAATAGAGTAACTCTGTAACAAGGAGCGTTGGTGCCGTTGAAGGAGACTCATATAATATTATACGGTCGATCAAAGGGGACCAATTATGCTTGTAGAGCCTCTGGCATATAATTAAAGAAATCAAAGAGATTTTCGTATGCTTTGGTAGTCTCTTTCAATCATGTTTATAAAGAGAAAATGCAGCTTATGTGCACCGCATAGCTCCAAAGGTCTAGACTTTTATGAAGTCAGAAGCAATTATGTAGAAAAAAAATTAAAAGCAAAATAATGTAGATAAGTGATATTGTGTTGGTTTATCTCAACAATCCACTCAAATCGAACAGCTAGATAAGGAAAAATATATAACTTATAAACGGTAGGGGAAATATAAAAGCTCTCCCACATGCACCTTTGTGGTTTCAAAGTTTTGGACTTCTATGAAAGTCATAGGCAATTTTGTACCTCCCAATACACTTGTAAATCATATATTCTTTATAAATAAAAGCAGTAAATTAAAATAGGAAAATTTAATAAAATGTACTTTAAGTATTAAGTATTTAACACTTATTCAATATGTTTTGATTTAATTTCAAAATGCCCATCAAAATACACATGATTTTGAATTGGAATATTAGAAAAAGGGTAAAATGATAAATAGTTGAAAATTGAAATTATTTTGCTAAAATTTCCACTAAAATAACAAATTTATCGGACCGAATAATGAAGGAAAAAGTCATGTAAGCAAAACTTTAGTGGCAATTAAGACTTTCAAGAATGGGAATAGGCTCGGTTTGCAGATGACATTTAGTAGCACTACCTATCAAGTTTGATGCCTACCACAGAACTACTAAAAAAAAAAAGACAAGTGTTGGAAAATAAATATACTAAAAATTAGTTGGGCATTTTAGTCATGTATTAAAAAAATATGCAAAGATCTCTAATTACAGCCTCAAAACCACAAAATTATCAGGAGAAATTTGATCATTTTGGAGATTCAATCATTCAAACATCCCCATTTTGAGGGCATTTTTGAAGTTTCAATAGAAAAAAGAGGGCAATATGGTACTCTTGTTTTTGTAGGCAGTCTAATCCATCGAATAAGTGAACATGTTGCATTCATAGTAGACAAAAATCGTAATTACTCTT